AAAATTATGTTGCCTTTTGGAACAAAGCACTCTTGGCATTTCTCATATATAACGATAATTATTTCTTTGAAAATTGTAAATCGTCGAATGAGCTTTTGTATGATGATGCAATCAGCTTAGCTATGTGTGGGTTTTATGTGTCTGTGATTATGAATGATTGCAACCGCGCGTGTGTCAGTATGAGTGTGTGTTTGTATTTTGCTGCTATGGTGTGTTGCTGTTATAGTGTGTGTGTCTGTGTGTGTGAGAGAGAGACAGAGAGATAGAGAGAGAGAGACCGTGAGTGTGTCTTTACAGATATATATACATATATGCATGTCCGTCCATGCATATAAAAATCTACATCTACAAATCGATTAATAGATAGATGTACAGATATATAAGAAACTGATGAGTCATATCGTAGAATGTATACAGGGATTTTACTTCCTCCATATACATCCAATGAGTGAATTTCCAGAATCATAGTCGAATGTAAAATACTTTATTTCTGAAACAGAATGCACATATTCAACTAACTCTTGCGTAAAGCTTCCCAAAACTGATGATGTGTTTTCAGGGAGTTAAAAATGTTTGCGGAGTGGGAGTGGAAAAGGGGAATAAACATAGGGAATGCTGAAAAAGGAGAGGGTGAGAGGAACGGATAAAAGAACAAACATAGGGCCAAACATGCAAAGAGAGAGAAAAACAGAGGGAAATTGAGAGCAGAGGCGGACATTTTTTAATAGAAAATAGAGAGAGCGAGTGAGAAGGGGAGGATGAAGAGAGAGAGAGATTGAGACAGCATAAAGGCAAAAGAGAGATACACATACACAAAATACACACATATATTTATGTATGTATGTATATGTATGATATATATATTTTTTTTATATATAAAAAATGTGCATATATATATATATATATATATATATATATATATATATATATATATATATATATGTGTGTGTGTGTGTGTGTGTGTGTGTGTTGTGTGTGTGTGTGTGTGTGTGTGTGTGATACACATTATATATATAGTAAGAGGTGTTGACCTCCTATATTAGTTACTGGTAGGCAGAGTAATACACTAATCAAACGGTGGACTCTTTATTTGTATATATATATATATATATATATATATATATATATATATATATATATATATATATATTATTATATATATATATAATGTATGTGTGTATGTGTGTGTGTGTGTGTGTGTGTGTGTGTGTGTGTGTGTGTGTGTGTGTGTGTGTGTGTGTGTATAACACACACGATTAGAAATGAACAGGATATGACTAGCGGTGCTGAGTGGTGAGAGTGGTCGGGTCACCGATGAGGCTAGGTCTCGGGAGTGAGTGAGTGAGTAACAAGCCCGCCGTGGCGAGGCAGGAGCAAAGTCTACCTAGTGTGTGTAAGTGAATGAGTCCCGCCCTGGCAGGAGCAGTTTCGTGGAGGGTGTGAGTGAGCGAGGTCAGCGGCTGCATACGTGGCAGGGCGTATAAATAGAACCGCCCTACAAGGAAACTCACTCCGGCAGATGAAACCCGACGCCGGTCAAAGCCACGTGTAGCCTTGCATATGATATGCTATATCATTCCTCGTCCTCGAGGCGATATTTCTTCTGCTTCAAGGGTGACCCATCATCAGACCTGATTGTTGGTAATCTTGGCCTCGTGTTCTTGTTGTTGGTCGTACTCGTGTTGCTCCTCCTAGTCGGTCTTTTCTTCTCGGTACTTGGTGAATCCATTTGTCCTCCGCATCCACACGTCCTCGAAGATTTCGCCTAGGTCCTCCTTGACTTCAGGACATCCAGACTTCCTCGTAGTCCTCTTGCAGGTGTCACTCGGCAGTGTATTCGTCCACACGTCCTCGCAGATCTCGTCCAGGTCCTTTTTGGCTTCGTACTCATTCAAACATCCTCGTATCCTGCGTCTGGGACTATGGGCGTGTGGACAGAGGCGAGCTCTCCGGCATATGAGGGCGACTTATTCCTGCGCAGACGAGCTCCTGAGTTTGACCGATCTACGGGCGGCCAGGTAGGCGGCGCTCTTCCATAGCATCCTGGGGCCTGCTCTGACGAGTTCCTGGTTCTTCGCAGGATCTACGGGCGTCCTTCCACCTCATCCTGGGGCGGCTTAATATCTGCACTAACGACTCCTGGTCTTCAGGCCTGCGGCTGTCTTCCGGCGACGTACATCCCACGGCATTCTAAGGTGACCGTGCTGCAGTTAGGCCTCCTTTGGCGCCATGTCGGATATCCACAGTCTATTTTATGCATTATTGAACCAGATCATACACGTAATGGCCAAGATAGTAAGAGAAAAAGAAAGACAACAGAGAGAGACGGATTTTAAGTGCTACTAACCGATGTTTTTACATTATTTGCAGTTTTAAGTGAGGTTATCTCATTTATTTTCGTTTTTTTTCACTTTTGTATTTTTCAAGAAGAAACTAAGCGAGGGAGATGGGAGAAGCGATCCTTACGGACCTTCTTGAGCTACAAACATATGAAATAGATATGAGAATAGATAAGGGAAATGACAGTGCCAATTTGCGAGGATATACTTGAACTGATTGTCATTTCATAGAGAAAGAAAAAAAATATGTAAATGAATATTGTGCATTATTGTCACTCATCACGACTGGCAACATTGCGGCAAATGAGATAACCTACAATTACGACACAACAAATCCTATCCATGAAGATTTGTATATATTCATAGTGCATAGATGAATGAGGGTGTGTGTGTGTGTGTGTGTGTGTGTGTGTGTGTGTGTGTGTGTGTGTGTGTGTGTGTGTGTGTGTGTGTGTGTGAATAATGTGAAATGTTTTTACGCTCTCCCCGATTGTATTAAATCATAATTACGAATTCATTACAAATACTGACAGATTGAAGCAATTATTCCTCACTTACAAATGTACAGAGTACACTAGATTTCATCGACGGTGGGGTTTCCCTTTTTACCCAAATTACCGAACGAAATAAAGTGAATTGAATGAGACTCAGCCCGGGGGCCGGACTGTTCACTACAGAGATAATAAATTATATTTACCGTTTGTGAATGTGAATAACGAAATCAGTAAGATAAAAAAGTGAACCAAAAGGAGTCCCCGAAACAAGTGAAATTCAACGATAAATCAACGAAATTCGTACAAGAAGAAAATGGAGTACATAGAATTTGTAACTAATTGCGAATCACAAGGAGAAAATTCTCAGCTTGAGAGAAATCACGAACAAATTGAATTCGTTGTAGCTTAACAATATAAAACAATAAAAAATAAAACAATATAAATCTCTAAATATTAAAGAATGAATTATTTAATAAACGATATTTATGTTTGCGACCAGAGATCATATCCTCACATATACTGGTGAAGACCTCAGGTGAAGATGATTGACAGAATGTGTGTGTTGAAACCACCTCTCTGCCACCACTGTAATAGGTGTTGAACCTCCTATGTATGGAATACTAGTAGGCAGAGTAATACACTAATCAAACGGTGGACTCTTTATCCTATAAGAGTAACACACATGCTTAGAAATGAACAGGATATGACTGGTGGTGATGAGTGGAGAGTGGTCCGGCCAGCAGCGAGGCCAGGTCACAGCAGTGAGTGAGTGTGGCAAGGCAGGTGCAAGGTCTGCCATGTGTCTGTGTGAGTGAACGAGGCAGGCACGGGCAAGGACAGCCTTACGGAGGGTGTGAGTGAGCGAGGTCAGCTTGGGTCATCCTTAAATCAGACCAGGAGCCACATACGTGGCAGGACGTATACTTAGAACTGCCGGACAAGGAAACCCACGCCGGTCAAACTCAAGTGTACAGTCTTACACATAGTATACTTTCATATATATATATATATATATATATATATATATATATATAATATAATATATATATATATATATATATATATGAAAGGGCAAAAAGTTATGCAAGGGATAAAAAAATAAAGTAACGAATGTTGAAGCGTTTACGCGTGTGTGTATACGAGGCTAATGAGCGTGGACGACTGGTCAGATCAGGAAGTTAATGATTATCGAATGCATAAATGAATACTTGTATGTATATATGTATGCAAGTCGCTAGGGCTCCATTGTTAAAATAAGTGTATGATATAATACAATTTACAATAAAAAGGAAGGTTAGCGTGATACGCAAAATGTGCGGGAAAGTGAGGGTCCGGTAATGACCATAGCGAAAGAAAAAAAACGGAGAAATAAAAACAAAAAATGAATAATGAATTAAGCAATTTGTGTAATAAATACGAGAAGTAAAATAAATGAACACGAGAAACGATAGCTAAAGAAAATGAAATATGCGAACGGGGTTAAAAAGAGTTAAAACAAACAAACAAGTGGCAACTCCAGCGTACTTGACGCGCACTTGCCAGGTAGAGCTTGGCAAGCAGACCGCTCACCTGCGAGGGCTACCTGTGGAATCCTTCATCTTCGACGCTACGCATCATAATTAAAAACCTCGGTAAGAAAACGCTATTGTGAAAAGAAAATAAATAATTTTTGACTTGTGGTTGTGAAATGTGTTCTCTGTAAGTGAATAAACAGATCTTTATTAAGAAAGTACAAGACGGAACGTTACGTGCAAGAAACTTCCCTGTTACTGGTGACTGTGACGATATTGACGGTGATTTTTTCTGTGTTCGATTTTAAGATTCATTTTTGTTAGATAGTGGTGGTTATCGGTTATTCATAAAGAGTTGTGTGCGCGCACGGGAACGTGTGTGTGTGTGTGTGTGTGTTGGGCGATTTTGCAAGCATTATTCATGAGCGTCAGTAGTTGTGATATCACGTTTTTTGTTGTTTTGTTTTCTAAAGCTGCGTACAGTTAATGAACTTGGATCATAATTAATGTTTTCCTTCAACCCCATTATCATTCTGTCATAAAAAAGGGATAAAAAATCTAGAGAGGCTCAACGCTGAACATCGTAATAACTAAAAAGATTATTAACCCTCTCATATAGATTTTGTAATCATAAAATGCGCATGTTTTCAACTCACCCAAGGCAGAAGAGTTAACGTGAAGGTCGACCTCCAAATGCAAATGACCTGGTGAAAGCGGGTCCAAAATGCTCTGGGGTGAACTGACTAACGCCTCGCCCACTGTGGAGCCGCCCACGCGCCACGCCCACACCCAAGAGTCATGGAATTTGAGGTGAGGCGCCGCCCATGAGCCGAGGGATCTTAGAGCCACCCTTGAGGGAGGCTGAAGGCGACCAGAAGCCTCGTACTGAAGGAAGAAAGAGCCGAGGGAATTATAAGTAATTGTGTTTACAAAGCTTGGATACTTTGCCTTTTACTGTGTCTATAATTATGGGAATTAATCAGGAGAATGGAAGCGTTTCAAATAATCCTTTGTTTCATTCCTCACATATCCAGAAAGTATGTAAACAAAGAAGGTGCAGGATAACATTCAGGTTTCAGGGCTTTGCTTCATTGCTAAATGCATCTAGACCCACCACTAGGGTTTCCAGGGACTCAGACGGAATAGCAACATCGTCAGCGAAGCCCAGATCAGTAACCTTGATATTGCCCAGAATTATTTAGTGATGACTTTAGACAGTAGTTCTGCCCAGTATCCAGTCTATGCAAGTGATGAAAAGTGTTGGTGCAAGGAGACATCATTGTCTCCCTCTTGAGCTAACAGGAAAGAAGCTCGACACCCCCCTTCACCAACTTTACAGCACTTACATACTGTTATACAGGCTTACTGTTAATCCAATCACCAT